TGAAAGGATTAAATTATATTCACAATTTTTATTTTGTATATTTTAATGAAAAATAACGCAATATATATCAGTAAAAAAATTAACCATTTCTCAATTATCAAGAACAAAAAAGTTTTATATATAATCTAATATATTCCAATAACGAGATTAAAATATTTATAAAAGTACAGATAAATGTGACATAAACGTAAGATGACCCAAGAGCATTCTTATCCATGCAAATAATAATGCAATTTATGGAGGACAAAAGAGATAAATGCGTCTGACATATTTGACTTATTAAAAAGTGCTGTTGATATTAACCTAACCATCTTATCTTTGTAAAAATAAATTATTATACGTGTTATATACATACATATATATATATATACATATATAACGTCGATGTCACATTAGGTAAACGTATTATAGAATTATTATATAATAAAATAGTGATCAATGAAAATTATGAATTCTTACAATAAGTATCAGCATATGATTATTATCATAATTATCAATTATTTATTTTGTCATTATTAGTGAAAATTATTTACAGATAAAACATTTATTTAATATATAAAAAACGCTTATTAATATTATAAAAATTATGAATTATAGAGTGTGGTATCATCAACATATCAATTGAAATGCAGAAAAATGCGCTTTCACAACTGTGATCGCGCCTATCGAACTTGCAATGCACATATCGGACATTCGCTGCAATCGTGTCGCGTATTCCTTTTTATGTTCTTACATGTGTAAACAAAAGAAGCCAAGCGATAAACTGCCGTTGACACGTGTATGACCGTTTCTTTCTGCCGTTCGTGCTACCAACAGCAGAAAGCATCGTTGGTGATTGTTGATAACCATCAATTTCCGGAACAAATACATACATCTATATATACATAGATAAATAACAAATATGTACATATATAAATACAGGGTGTCCCACGTAACTGTGATCATGATTTTTCCCGCACTTCTGATAATCTGTCAAAAATATTATTTGGAATAAAAATTAATTAGTTTTTAATAGGCTACACACATTGCAATGTTAAGTAAAAAATCTTTTTTAGGTAAAAAGTCAAGTTTATTGATCTTACACTAAATTTAATTATCTAAAGGTAGCAGTCATCTAAAGGTTATAGTATAGCAAATAATTGAATTCGTCTTGAAATCAGATACAATATTATAAAGTCAAAAATGCATAGTGCTATTAAAAAAAATTAAGGTGACTTTGATTTTTTACCTAAAAAAGAATTTAAAAAAAATTTTTAATATTGCAATTTGCAGCCGATTAAAAACCGAGTAATTTTTATTCAAAACAATTTTTGTCATCGAAAGTGTCGGAAAAATCGTAATCACAGTTACATGGGACACCCTGTATATATATGTGCGTGCGTGCGTGCGTGTGTGTGTGCGTGCGTGTATTATATGTAATGACATCATAAATTATTAGATATTTTTAAAAAAAATTTATAAAGCAGTATGCAATTTATTGCTTATTGCGTTACAAATGTTCATACTCCGTAATATTCTAAAGACGCAGAAACATCTCAATAAACATCATCTATCGTTCGTTATATAACATTTACCTAACTGTTTATGACAATTAATGGATGACGGCCCGACTTGATCATTACTTCGATGAAAGATTTTTTTATCTCCTTGCGTTTGTGATAAAAATATCGTAGATGTATTTATCACGTTAGAGCATACAACGTGCATCTCGGAAGAACGCGATAGATCCGTGAATAGAGATGTAACGAGGCGCGTCTCATCGAGAATCAAGTCTGTGAGTTTAAAGCCTCTGAGTTTAAAGCCATTCTGTGATCTCTTCGAGAACGGTAAAAATACCGTCGCCGAATATATCGTGCTCGAGGCACGCGGCAGTATACCTGAAGAGAACATTGCAACGCGCCGGTCAGTCGTCGAACTGATGAATAGGAAGTGCAATGAGGCGTATCAAGACTTATTGTTCGCGAACGTACGATAATCACGGGACTGACAGGGCTCTCTGTGAAATAAATCTTTATTATTAATTACAAAAAAATTTTAGTAATATTAGACAAAAAATAAAATGATTTCAGTTTTTAGTAACGTACTTGTTGATGCTATTGCGTGAAAATAATTGTAATCTTAATCAATGTTTACAAGAAAATTATTGTGCAAACAAATATCTTTCTATCACTTTTTGATATTACTTTCTCGCTTGTAAATAAAAATGATTAATTGCATCACAAATCGTTATTTCATCTTATTATATTTTTCGCCGATTTTTGACGATACATGTTGTTGGTTAGATAAACCAGATTATAATGACTTCGGAAAATTACAGCAAAATGATAATAAGAGTCATAGTAAGAAATGATAAGATTCTTTGTACATATCGTTAGACCAAACAATCTGCTCTCGCTAAATCGTTGTTAAATGAAACAGACTGAGAATGACATCATGACCTCGACCCTCACTTATTTAGATTTAGATCAATTTCGTCAATCGTACAATACCTAAGTTTTTAAAACGAGTTTTGTCTGTGTGGTATCTATAAATAATATAACTATAGTTATAGTAACTATAGTAGCTATAGTAGCTATAGTTACTATAGTAACTAGTTTCCAATTATTAATTTAATTAAATGTCTAGTTTAAGTTTTATCTTAGAGAATCCTCATTCTAGATATTTAATAAATCGTTCTAATCGTCCTATAAGATTAAACTTATCCGAATTAAAGTAATAATTTTTTATACTTTGGTTACTTAATATATTATAACTATATTATTAATGTATTGTATCAATATATTATAACTACATTACATTACATTTCTGCATGTTATATACTTTTAAATGTGTTTTCAAATGTATAAGCATGAAGAACACGTAGCATATATTTAAATGTTAAACTTAATAAGCGGAAATGCATAGCCACTAAATGCAGACACAAATCATTACGTTCCAACTACATAGTTATCCTGACTTGGTAGCCGAACTTGATTGATTTTTAGTATCAAGTAAGCACCTTTCTTGCTTTGCTGGCAGAAACGAACATTATGTCACTCGTACAAATGTTTAGAGAAACACTTAATTCTGTTATCATTATTATAGTAACCTGTTGCAAACTAATTATTTTATGTCTAAACTAATTTTACAAACATGTTTTATTTGATTTAAATTATTTAAAAAATAACGACGCACTGAAATCTAAAATTGAGCCCACGCGATTCATGGTCTGCCGATTCTCTGCGTTGCCGTTCGGTTTCGGTCTGGTACCTACTGTACATACATGCGTGTCGCGTCTCGGACCCGGTTCACCCGGAACCGGTCTCCAGAAAAGGAAGAGCCGTTCGCTGGTTCGTCGCGCCTGGGAGTCATAATTCTACTCCGCGAGTAACTTGATTATGCATACATGTAGTGCATATTTGCGCCAATACATAAATCAATGTAAAAAAAATTATATACACAGATACGTATAAATTTTAGCGAGTTCTAAGCACAATTTTTATCCTCAATTAGCTCGAGAATCTACACAAATTGCACTACATTACAATAACTTTGTACTCAGCAAAATAAAGATAATGTACGCTTTCCATTTGATAACACAAGTGTCGTTCTGTTATTCACTGAATGTCAAGAAAAATAACTTGTGTCGACTTGTGTCACCAAATGAAAAGCACCAGTTTTCTTTGTAAAATATGATCTGAGCTCATACAGGAATATATACATAAATTAAATATTACCTAATGAAAAATTATACGAGAAATATATCCAATATTTTAAATAAGATCATCTGTACCGTTGTACATAATACGACATATTTCTATTATTTAGTATATTATATATTATTTAATAGAAATATTAGAAAAGTTCTTAAAATTATTTTGACAAGTTGTGTTCTCCATCGAATGCTTGTTAAGAAGAAATCTATGATTTCATTACACCCTATATATTATTTTTATCTAAAACTCATTAATAAGATGTAATAAATCTTGCTTATGTTACCGGATTATGATAACCTTTAATCACTTGTACCGTTCACTTTCGTGCTATCGTACCGTATTAGAACAAAAATGTATATACATACATAATACATAAAATAGATCATTTTACAAGATACCGTAATACACTTGAATAAAGTTGTGATTGGCGGCGTCGTATTTGGCCACGTTTGACAAAGCAGATAATTATTGATAATTTTCCTCAAATACATTAATGTAAGTTATACGCGCTTTTTTATCATAAATTCTTAAGGCAAAAAAGAATTTTTCTTGATAATATACATATAAAAATTCGATTATTTTCGTCACTGCAAAGAATGCGATTAGTAAATCGATGGTATATAGATTAACTGTCACGCGCGTCGGCAACTAATTGGCATTCGGTCGATATAGCTATAATAAATATTTTTAATGGTTTTGAGATCTATACAGATCCACGTGATCCGGAGATGATTCGAATGGTTGATGAAATTTTTGGCAGCTGAAAGACGTTCCTGACATCTTTGAATGCTATATCGTTCGTAGATTTCGCCCACGACGTGGCGAAAATTAATGTTAATGGTGTCTCGACGTCAATAAATTTCAGGCGCCAGACTGCCAATGAAGAGACTGTTAAGCATAATGTTTCCAGTCTTGTCCGATTTTTCGTTGTGTAATTCTTAGCGGTTGTCGCTTCTGCCATAACTTTACAGTTATATTCCTGAAAGAATAAGTAGGAAGTGTACGGAAAAGAGATTGCCGACACAAATTATACGCTTAATTCCATCAGTGGCTTAGAAAACACAAAATAAATTGTAATATGCAAAATATGCCATAAATATAGACACTTTATATTTTTATATAACTTAAATATCTAATTTTACATAAAATTTACATTTTGAAACTTTCCTCGAATTTAATACTTTAAAGGCCCTATAAAAGCAGAGTGCACTTTATATTCTAAGAATAATATTTATTTTACTAATATCAGTATGGTTTGGCTATATATAACAATGGCAATAAAAAGCGAACCTCTTTTTTTTGCAGGTCTAAATGTGTTCGATAGCGATGCCTGCTGAATTGATTTTACACAGCCCCCCGGTGTACAGTTCCCTGCTGTACAGCCCCTTGGTGGTCACGGCGCCCACGATCACCAGCCGATCAGTGCCACCTAGAATCAGACCGTGCCTCTCTACGGGATCCTTGCCCCTGGACTCATTGCGAAACAACGATGGAAAACAAAAGAAACGGGTGGTGTTCGCTGATGATCGCGGCCGACCCCTCACACAGGTATTTTTACAATTTTCTCCTTATTTTTATCGAAATCAGATATGTGTGGCGCGAGATCGGTCTTCTTCTTTAGTATAGATAAATTTAATTACTCATACATTACACTTGTAGAATGATGTCTCACTTCTTTTATTATTATAATTCCTTTTTTAGCGCTTTGTTATAGCTTTATTAACGTTTTGTTAGCGCTGTGTGCTACTTGGCATTCGCAAAGTAGATATGCGTCTAGTTTACTTTCGAGAAGCAAATAACGAGATAAGCAAAGCCAATACCACCAATGGAGAGTTAAATACCGTACTTTTGAATTATGAATTTTGTTTAAAGTTGTTTTTACTGAAGTAGTGTGGTAACAATTTGGCTAGAGGCCTACGAATAACGCATTTAACATGTGCGTCGGTAGTCACCAGCTTTTTGACAATTTAGATATCATATACATATATACTGATAAAATGTATTACGTGTGAACTGGATTTTTGTCAAAAATAAGTGCTAAGAGGCACATAATTTAAATGCCTTTGTTAAAAGTGATTCGAAAGGAAGCATTCCAAGTGGTATGTACATTTGCCATTTTCTAATCTGCACTCAGCTATAATTGGGCATGTGCAGTAGACAGTATTGCACATGCGCAGTTGTGGTTAATTATAGGTTAAAAAAGGATAAAAATATTATACTACTTAAAATGTTCTTTATTAGATCGCGAAACTAGCGCTAACGCTCGTTGCTTTAGTATTATACCTTTTTAAAAAAAGATAAAAAAGGCTCTAAGATCTTATGTTCATCGAATAAACTTAAATATGACAAAACCTAGATGATACGTTATTGAAAAAAAACTGGTGTACCAAATTAAAAATTATAACCTAAGTGGTACTATCTTTACTTTATATATATATATATATACTATCTTTGTTATTTGCTTAATTCTAATGACACGTATCATTTGTATAAAAAATTTGATATCAACAACAGGCACCAGGTTAAAGTTTATCAAATTAAAAAGTAAAACCTAAGTGTGGTACATAATATTTACTTAACTCTAATGATATGTATCATGTATATAAAAAATTTGATATCAATAACAGATGCCAAGTTAAATTCTATCACATTTATTATTTACTTAACTCCAATGATATCTATTATTTATATAAAAGATTTGATATCAACAATGGGCACCAAGTTATTAAATTCTACTACGTTTAATTATTTACTTAACTCTAATAATATCTATTATAAAACTCAAATAGTATTGTATTGTCTTTGTTATTCATTTAATTATAAATGACATATATCATTTGTATAAAAAATTTGACATCAATAACAGGCGCCAGATTAAATTCTATCAAATTAAAAGTAAAACTCAAGTGGTACTATCTTTTTATTATTTACTTAACTTTAATGATATGTATCATGTGTATAAAAGATTTGATATTTCACATCAACAACTGGTGCCAAGTTAAATTCCACAAAATTTTATATCATTCGTATAAAAGATTTGATACCAACAATGGCACAAAGTTGAATCCTATAAAATTTTTATGAAGTTAAATTCTACCAAATTAAAAAGTTAAACCCAAGTAATACTATCTTTAAAAACCCAAGTGGTATTATCCTTATTATTTATTTAATTCTAATGATATGTATCATTTGTATGAAAAAAACCCAAGTAGTGCTACCTTTAAAAATCCAGGTATAATACTATCTTTATTAAGTTAAATTCGGCCAAATTAAAAAATAAATCCAAGTAGTACTATCTTTAATCTTTATATATACGATGAAACCTAAATATAAATCTTTGTATTCCTATTGAAGAATCTTAATTCTTGTTCCAATTCAAATGGTTTAATTCTTCTTAAAAATAATAATTATTATATTACAATCCATTCTTGATAAAAAGACCACTTTTTTTTTTAACTGGCCAGTGGTCAAAACTGGTTTTAACCAGTCAAAATTGATTTTAACCGATCAAAATCACTAGTTAAAATGTATTTTTGCTCTTTAAGAATTTTTAACGACTTTTTATTGTTGCAAGCTCGCTAGATGTTGCCTAATGTACTTCGATAGTTTCCACTGTTTCCGGCCTTAATTTTTTTTTCTTCCTACCTCTCTAATTAGCAAGTTAGATAGAGGATATCAAAAACCATTATCGAAGAAATGAAACGTACATTTTTTTCTGGTCGATGATGTTAATGATAACAATGACGACGTTTCTTAAAATCAGAGATTCAGAGATTTGCATCGTAATATCTCCGCTCGTAGGACACGTAGAAAAAAAATAAAGGCACTTTTATTATACAAGCCGAGTGATAGCTATCAATTGAGCGTATATAGAAAAAGTTGATTAGTTCAGCCGTTATTGCGATCCGATAATTCCAATCCTCCACAACTCGCCGGCTCGAGTAAAGGAGCACGGCAGTGTCGCTGTGCTTAGCTTAGCGTCGAGACACTATATGCCAAAATATTTAATAGAATTATCAAATTAAATAATTAAATTACTATTATTAAATTAGTAACTTAAGACCACAGGTTAAAACTTTTAATGATATCAAGAATTTCATTAATACAAATAATTCACAATAATTTTCTAATATGTAATAACTTGTGTTTTGTTTCACTATCCAGTCGAAATTATTCATTAATTATATCGTTTGTTTTTATAACGACACAATTCAATAAACAAAATTTTCCAGAAAATGAATTTGAATGTTTTGAATCATTACAATTTTGTGATATATTAATGTGTATGTAATATTAATGTAATGTTAAAATGATAGTTTTTGGGATGTGTCGTTGTTGTAACAAATATGAATGATATTATCATCCAACAGTCGTTTCCATTTAACATTTTCCTTTCTTTTAATTTGTTACGGCATTCTATAATTCTAATATTTCAATATTACATCCGATTTGGCACATAGGTTCGCGTCATGTCAGAACCGAGCAACGTACCACCATTATGGAGCACAGCTTACGTGGCTGGTCTACTCGGCATATCGAAGGATCAGAGTCAAGAAGCGACACAGGATATTACGCCACCGTGGCAGGTGACTTTCCCGCAACCAGCAAGCGACTATCTTGCCTTCCGGCGTAAGCTCGATCAAAATAACGTTAGCCTGGAGAACGTAATCGTGCGCGAGTCCGAGCAGTGCTTGGTGGGCACGGTGAAGGTACGAAATCTGGCTTACGACAAGGAGGTCGTTGTGAGGGCCAGTAGCGACAGCTGGTCTACCCACGAGGACGTGCACTGCACGTACGTAGCACAACCGGGGTCATCGAGTTCCCTCATCCTGTACGACACCTTCCGCTTCCGGCTCACCTTGCCAGTGGCGTCGAACGTCATTGAGTTCTGCGTGAGATATCGTACCGACGGCAGGGAGTCGTGGGACAATAACGAGGGCAAAAACTATCTGGTTAGCAAAAAACAGGAGGTAAGTATTTCAAAAAGATTATTTAAAATCTCTTAATATGTAAAGAATATTAAATATATCCGTGACGTCACTTCTATTTGAAGTCCTTGCGACGTTGCACACTATCCATGACTGACAGTCACTGACATATTTCGTAAAAGTTACGTGATTTTATTTACGGCCGTACATATCCAAAGAATCTTCGGATCTTCATTAAATATTTGCCAAGTAACGACAATCCATGGTTTATTGATTTTCAAAGACATTATTCATGGTTAAATGTTCTCTATAATATACACGCACATTGCGTTCTTTGCGCAGTACCAAATGTTTTTAGATTTTTATTTTATTTTGTTAACGCTCAGAAACTCTGAAACTATACCTCATAAAATTTGTCCTCTCTTTTATGTATAGAAAAATTAGTAGGTCAAATAAATTCGGAATTTTTTTTTTAATTTATTGTAACGATGCGCAGAGAATTGAGACATCTTATACCGATGCTTCAGCCTCGAGTACCAGCCGCACGATGTGATAACAGCCAGACGACGAAATGCGACGGGCTCTCCAACGGAACGAGGAACGGCAGTGTGCCGCAGATCGCGGAAGCTACCAGGTTAAATATGCGTACCTGGAGCGAGTTCGCATCTTGGCAGCACCTGACCAACGATGCGCCCTATTGGTGAATCGACCGGCGATGAGGTCGTGCCCCCTCGTCTCGATATCGAAATCATGTACGAAGCTGTACAAACTCCTCCAGTTTTTCTCACCTCGGCGACTTCGCCGAGACGTAGATCACGCGGGACCACGAGCAGGAGGCATCTCGCGAGGCACGTGAGTCGCCAGGGACGTGGGAACGGAGAGGAATAAACGCGAGGACGTGAGGAGAGAAGCTGTGCGACGATTCTCGAATTGAGAACTCGAATTGAGGAAACAAGAGCGCGCGCGTGCGAGAGAAAGAAACAATCGGCAGAGCAATGATAGCACGGGCAGCGGAGCCGGACGACGCCGAGCGTCGGATAACGCAATCTACACGGTAAGCCCCGATTTTCCCTTTATCTTTTCTTTCGTGTAAGAATACTTCGCCAAGTTTCAACGCTTATTTTCGCAATGGGCGATGGCCTGAAAGAAAAAAGGTGATTTGCGCGATAAAATGCTGCTTAAACGAATCTGCTGAGTAAGCACTAAACGTTCGCGATAGAACTGAAACCCTGCGTAGACACATAATTTTTATAATTAGATTTACGTTACTTGTAAGAACATTTTTATGAATGATACGGAAAGAATAGTGCTGAAGTGTCTAGAAACTTAATTAAATATACATCTGAAAATAATTTTGTTAGTCATTAAAATAATTATGTAGAACGCTTAAACCGAGGCGGTAACCCCACTTAATGTAATCGTGGGACAGAATCCTTGAAATCATTATAAAATTTATATAAAATCTCTATGTATAATCCGATAATTACATATGCAACCACGAGAAATAATTGTATAATATTAAATACAATCGTATATTTCACCAAATTACTTCATAGTAGTGAAAAAAATTATTTGTAATCAGATAAAATCATGTAATCTGTGGGACAATATTTCAGCTAGTGGTTACCCACTCGGGTTACCCACTTAAACATTAACAATTATATAAATAAATTTTAACATTCTAGAAACTAGTTTAGCGTCCGATAATTATTTTAATGATTCGAACAGAATTATTTTTAGATCTGCATTTAGTTGAATTTTTAAGTACTTTAACAAAACCGTTCGTTCTGTATACGCAAAACATTCGTTTTTTAATAATTTTATTAAAATAGAAATTTTTATATTGGACGCGTAAACGTATCAGATTTCGTAGCACGTTTTGTAAATTTGATTCTTCGGCAACTTTCACCGCCATACTCGTTTTAAGCTGAACGGATTTATTCGAGTGCTCGTATCCTTGCTTGAAATAGCAAGTATTTTTATGGGCTGATCCATGCACGTACAAAGTATGAAACGAGAATTATGCAGTTATATACCGATGTATCATACTTAAATTTAATGCAATAAGCAGTAACGTCAGCAAGATGCTGCTTCTTAAGGGATTATAATATTTTTGAATGTTAATGAAGCATATTTCAAGTATGCTCGTGAGTACGTTACTATTTTCAAGTTCAATAAACGTGGAAAAGTGTTTTGACAGGAAAAAACAATAATTAAATAATGGAAAATATTTTTATATTATAATGCAAATAAATAACAATTTATATTAAACTATTATTTAATGTATTGTATTACTTTTACTAACTAAAAAAAAAATTAAAATCTTTATTTTTACAATAAAAACATTTAACTTCTTTTTTCTATCATAAAATAGAAGTTTAATTTGAAATTAAAATATCAGTTTGCTACATATTTTAAAACTGCATATTTTTTTCTTTAAACATAAATTTAAGGACAAAAAATTATTAAAACACAATATATCAACTTGCCATATTTAACTACATTTTTTCTTTTAAACATAAAGTTAAAAAGAAAAAATTATATTAAAACGCGAGAGCTCATTGAACATTACTAAATGAAAACTCATTGCTTCCACTCTCTAAACTTACGACGACTGTTCTATCTATTTATGTACCTCGTCTCGCGCGCGCACAGACGGAATAGTACCACGCTCCCACGAGCTATTATTAACCGGCAAGTGCAACGAGCTTCTTCTTGAGCCGAAAGCTCTACGAAGAACGAAACTTTGATCTCGTCATCGTCTTGGGGTTTCGCAATTGCACTGCGCGATCGATCGAAGCATGATCGCGAAATCGCGAACCTCGTAAAATTTCGAATGGCCTTTCTCGCCGCTCGAACGCTTGAGACTTTCTCTCTATAAATAACGTAGTCGACCGTCGACGGCGTCGTGTGCGAGACAAGCGCGATAACAGGCCCGACCGACGAGGAGAGTCGCGCGACTCTAATCGCCTTAACGAAAGGTTGTTACCACGCAATGACATGGCACACCGATTTCATTCCCTCTCGCATATGTTCGTGCCGCATCTTCTTTCATCTCTCGTTCTTCACTCTCGGTCCGCTTTTGTTTTGTCTCTCCATCGTCGCGTTTATAGATCCATCGCGTCTTGATGCATGCATATAGGCTATAAAAAAACAGAAAAAGATCACGAACTTGAAAATAAAGACTATTTTCTCTAAAGACTATTTCCTCCTTTTCGGCTTGAAAACTATGGAAAATGAAGCGTTTATGCGATCGGCTTGCTGCAATAGATAATAAAATAAGCTAGGAGCACATAAAAAAACATAAGCAATAAGACTTAAGATGCAGTAAAAGAATCGGCCAATCACAGTACAGAATGTAAAATAGTTCTCTACTGTGATTGGCTTTACCGTTTTGCTTACTGCTTACGTCTTACTGCCTTACGTTTTTTTACGTGTTTCTCGCTTTGTTTAGGTTTTGATAAACTTTGATAGTTAATGAATTGGAGTCTTAAACTTAACTTTCGAGACATTCTACAGCAAAATTTGAAATTGTGTAGAAACGCGAAAAAATCTATTTATCGAACCGTATAAAGTAGGTGTGTTACGAATTCGATGGAATCAAGTTGGACGCATCCAATAAGCGAGCCAAGTATTAATCTTTCGATAAATGTTATATAAATAACGCAGAAGTCACGAGTGTGAATGAAGGGGAGACTGGCCTATGTGGTATCGTCGGGGCGATAGCTTTTAATCGCTTTCCTGAAGGAATGTATGTATATTTACGCATACATTCATTCACCCTGTCGGTTTTTTCTTGTGCCGGTAGTGCAAACGTTGCCGGTAGTGCAAACTTACTGCATTTTCTGTCTGAAAGCCGTGTCTCAATTCGTTAACGACATTCCAAACGATACTCCTACTTTCTTATTCGAGGCAAAGGCTGCTCACTGGCCTAACAGTAAAATTACACTAATATATAATTATTATAGTTTCTCACTCAACAATATAAATGTAATATAACATAAATTGTATGTAACAGCTGTTATATTGTTGCGTAGGAAATTATAATATTGATGTTATGTTTATATTGTTGATGTTTATTGGGTTGTAAAGGAGATCGCGTATCATCGTTTGAAAATTTTGAAATTATACAAGGTCTATAATAGGAGACGTAAATCTTAAGTCATAAGAAACTCATAGAGCACAGTTTACATTCCAGCAACATTGCAACGTTCCAGCAATATTGCAATAACGTAGGAAACGTCACAATGTTGCTGCCATCTTCTGTACTGTATGTGGGAATTAACTTTCAATTTTTTAATTAATCGCACAGTCAAATGTGAGAAAAATAATCGACTGTGATTGGTTAATTTCTTACGACATAAGACTTGCGAGTCTTGTTGTAGGCTCCACGTCAACGGCAAGTATTTCGAATCATTTTCACGGGCAAAAAGGAAGCAAAGATGTCCTTGACACACTGCCAATCAGCACGTCGTTTCGTGCACGCTGTTATAAGTATAACAAACAAAACTGATCTTTTCCAAGCTCAATATGTCCTCGACCCTGATCTGTCCAGACCGAGGTACGCGAAATGTACGTGCATCTGAGACAGATTCGTATTCGGTTTGACTCGTTCGACGGCTCTATGCGAGATTTGCGAAACCCGACCCTGGTACGAACGCGTTAACCCACTTCGCTCCGGTGCCGCTAAATCCGTCTATATTTGCCAGCACGATGAGCTTTCCCGCGATGTCGTTTGGCAATGAACGAAACAAGTGGCTTTAATGCTTACATTTTCAGGTATTGTGATGAAAGGAGAGGATCGTATGTAACAAGAAAAAAAGCTATGAAAAATCGCGATTTAAAGAAATGTAATTAGGATCATCGTAATTTACAGATTTGCAAAATTTCATGACTTAGACATTCAACGAATAGTCTCAAATTTTATTTTATAAACGTATTAAGATCCTTGTGTGAACACATATTATGTAATCAATTATGATATTAATTTTTCCATAAATTCTGGAGATCTTAAACATTCACGTATATTTCAGGAATTTTTGGAATAAAATATATCATCTAAAAAATTCATACATACACAAATTTAAATCGGAGATATTTTTAGTTATCTTAAAATTACTAAAATTAATATTAAATTTTATTTTTATTGTAATATATCAATAAAGTTATATTTCTTATGCGAATTCTAAAAGAAATTTCTTATTCTTTGAACACTTTTCCGAGGTAGAATTACTCCAGACACGAAAGATTTAATTCCTCGCGCTTAAGAATTAAGTAAACGCGTTATGTCAATGCGGGAGGTAACCATATTTTAAAAGCACAACGCCGTGGTTTGCCTTGGTATCATTCATTACGTACGTACATATTTATCCGTGAAGATATGTACAGTACGTCTCAAATGCAAAATATTATTCTGGATTTCAATAAATATGAATGAAAATGTTTTCCAAATGGAAATCCGCTTGAAATATTGGAACTCTACATTAGCACTGTATTCTCTCGCCTTTCTCTTTTTACACTATTTGCTATTTTTAACACTTATTAATTTGATTATTATTTCTTATTAGCGTAACACATTATTATATTTAGATATTTCTTTAACGTTTGTTAATTATTGCAATATTAATATATTAACACTTATTATTATGATATATTAATTATATTATTATTACTATGATATATTAATATTTAACATTACCGGGATTTAATTTTTCTTTCCATTGTAAATTAATTTTTCTCTCTCGATTATACTGTTATATATCGTTATTATACTCCTTATTTGTGAAGAGTATCTGGCACCGCTCGACAACATCCGGCAGTACAAGTACAATTTTTTGATGCCAAACAATCCGATGGCCTCTTAACCCTCAGATGTACGATGCAATTATCACCTCGTTTGAAAGTTTTATACACGACGCAATTACATATTGCTCTCGAGTACAACACGATAAATATAAACCAGAATATAATTTCTCGGTAACCCGATATCGCTGCAGTTGCATGTGCGCGATAAGAGGAGCTGCAGGAATAACTTTAATCCTTGAAGTGCATCAGAGGGTTGAACTCTCGCGAGCGAACTTTCCTTATCTGTACGTTTCTCAACATTGAGACAGTTTAGCAATGAATTGTATCTCCGGTGCGGAGGAAGTGCGCGACTTCTGAGATATCCTGTAGACATTATTCGAGGCGTGGTTGCGAGAAGTAGTGGCGCAGGATCGTGTACACCGTGCGTCCGTGCCGCACCGCGGTCACGCCGTATGGTACCACGCCTTGGTGATCACCGAGAGCGAAAGAGAGAGAGAGAGAGTGAGCGAGAGAGGGAGGGAGAGAGAGAAAGAAAACGAAAAAAAAAAAGCTTAGAGACGTCTAGACGCGTGGGACGGACCGGGGTAATCTCGACTTCTCGACAACCTCGAGCGGTTGGGGCTCGCTTGCTTGCTTGCTTGCTCGCACGGTGTTTGCATGCGTTCCCGTATATGTAATACATACCTACGTGCGCGACACATGCATTCCGTGTTGTCGGGAAAAAGGCAGCCGTCTTAATTGCTGAGCATTGTTAACCGCCCCTGGAAATCTCAGCCGGTGGTCGCCGAGACCTCTCCGACGCGTTTCAATTCCATCGCCGAGACCAAAAGCGCTTTTAATCATATTTGAACCAGTCTATGCCTCTTAATCATATTCGAACTAGTCTGTGCCAACGAAAGGAAAAAGAACATTAAGTTTTTTTACAACGTCTTCTTAGTAATTATACCTCGCCGTTTATATTATATAAATTAGAAAGAGTATCTCTAACGTGTGTCAAATTAAACTAGTGATTAGTTTTTGAAACTGGGTTAAAACTCGATGCAACGACATGCTATGCATTTTAAATGTAGATTGATTGGATTTACCACGGCTTGTAATATATCATTAATCCACTATTTTCTATTTTCATAATTGCAGAATTTTCATCATGCAAATTCTTAAAACTGTTGCGTTTTTAATTGATCGTATCTCATTGCGTCCAGAAGATGATATATAGAATTAAGTGCTTAAATCCTGTTTGCTATATATAGTACATTGAAAAAAGTCTGGTAATAATGAAGCCTAGATGATACTCAGTAAATACAATGTTACATGTAACGTAAATGTAACATGCAATATCAGCTCAACACAGGGTATTATATTACAGTTATCTTGTTGAGTTACTAGAAATTTGGAAAAATAGTTTTAATTACATGTACGGTTATAATATTAAGTTAAAAAATTAAAATAATTAAAACAAATTAAATTTTTCTAAATATTATCTTATATTTCTATTTATCTATTACCAAATGGTTACTTTTATTATGTTTAGTATCTTTACTAAGTATTGTATCGACATACGTAAAGAATAATTCTGTTAAGGTATCTGAAAATTTTGTTGGATATAGATCTGAAAATAATTTTGGGACTATCAAAACAATTATATTAAAAATAAAAAAATTATTAGCAATGCTGCAAACAGTTTTTTCATTCTAGCAATCAATTTGAGTATCCTAGATTAATTATTTTGATGATCTAACAAAATTATTTTCAAATATATATCTAGCTAAATTTTTAGATGCTTCAGCAAAATTGTACTTTCCGTGTGTGTATGCTAAACAAAATACACTTAGTAACTATTACCAGACTTTTTCCGCAGTATATTCTACTACAATTATTATTTTGTTGCAATTATACTTAATGCACATTTTCGATTCTTATGTTTATGTTATATATTATTCAAATCAGTCGAAGTTGTCTTATCATATATCATTACTGTTACAGGTTTTAGCATCCGCGTCATTGTAAGACCGGTTCATGAAAATCATTCAACGTCTGCCTTCAGCTATAACATCAGTGACCACGCTCGCCAATGCGGACATCATCGTCGCATATTATCTTCTCAAACGTTCTCTTCTTCCTCCTCCGTTTCTTCATTCCTGGGATTTTCGGCCCGCCTGTGAACAGGAGTCCGTCTTGAGCTTCCACCCTCGACTTGATCCAAATCTCGCTGGTCTCGTCATATCGGCCAATGTTATAGTTCTGTAAGCGCTTTCTCCATTTCTTCCTTCGTACACTTCTTCCTCTTTCTCTTCTTCTCTTCTCTTTTTCTATCTTTCATTTCTTCCTCTCGGCACTGTCAATACTATCTTCTCTGCGAAACACAAATCATCGCCCGAGTGTGTCAATTATTTTTTACGAGCATAACGGGAGATAGGAAACGCGCGTAGGTCTCGTGAGGTAACTAGCATTGCGAGATTACTGCACAAAATATTGTATTGCAATGTGCCTTAGAGTGCCTTAAGGAATTATAGAGGTTTGTCTCATAATGCTCAGCGTCGCCCAAGCAATGTAAGCTCATAAAACGATCCTTGCAAGCGTCTTTCTACATTCTTTAAGCCTATATTATTGCGTTATTTGAACAAACAATCGTATCATCGTTATCGAGTCGTCGAAAAATTTTATTATTAACAACTTAAGCGAGAAACATAAGGCAGGTACCGTTCGTAGTCGATGTGAATTAGTAGGAAACGACGAGATGATAACTGTTAACGGCATGTTTATTTTGCGACCGATGCTATATGCCGTTTCTTTTATAGTTCCTCTTTCGACACGTACCGTTTCATTCGATTAGAGAGCAATAAATCATAGCTTCGCACGGTGGACACGAAATTTTGACGGTCGTTACACCGCACTTTTAGAATATCCGAATCGAGAAGATAAACGATACCAGATATATCTTGTGAAATGTTGAACTACTAATTTAAAGCGCAACTATATCTATATGTATTTTAACTACCTTTGGCTTTCACTTTTCACAAAGAATTTTTTAACGAAGATTTATGTCTTATATACATGTATATACAGAGTTGAGCGTATACGTGATACATGTATGTACACACGCGTTTTGCGAACCATCTGCTTGCTTGAATCAACGCGTTTAAGCAAGTAGAGTTTCAAAATAAATAGAACAAGCGAATGAACTGCGATAATAGCGAATGAGCCTATCGACGTACATCTCGATTACGTCGTATACAAATGAACGCTGAAATATACGCAATCGGCTATTAATTCGTGAATATATGTAAAAAGAAACTCTATGATAAATGTGAATATGAGTTGAATTATCATATGCTTGATATTTTCTTCTGAGGTGACTTTGTAAAAAGCTTGCGTATTGTTTTGATTGTTGAGACGTCAGTTTTATTCAGGTATTCACGAGCTAGTAGTCAGCGCGATTGCAAATGCTCGCGTCGAAATAGCAACAACGGAGTGGAGTATGAATGCTTGTGAACTCATGAATCTTTCGATACTTTTTGGCATCAAGCATTTCTTGCCGATCAATTCTTATCTCGTATCTGGTGGGCTTCTACATATGGAGCATCCTATAGAGTTTCTTTGAAGTCACTTCTAACTCTAGCTCTTCCAGCACGTTCAAAACGCTGCCACTTCAATGTCTGTACTTCTTCAAGCCTCTCGTTTGAAATTAAATGCATGTCTCTCTAGCTACTGTGTGGCTTAGCACGCACGGAAATACAATGCCACCCGCATTGTTAAACGAAAGCAATATTCGAATGCTCAGCGACCTGAGTTTTGCTTTCAGGAAACGAAAGGCCAACCGGAGGCGGCACTGCTTTCGCGGTGAATGAGAGAGTGCTTTAAGTTGCAGAATTGTTGAAAAGAAACGTCGGCATGACTACGAGAAATGGCTAGACTCCACCCGGTGATTTGCAGACGCCATTCTACGCGTCCTGCATCGGGCTTTGATAGCAGCACTGTAAACGGAACTGCTTTCTCTGCTCGTAGGGATTCTTCGCAGTTCTATTCTTCAAAGTAGATAACGATTGATATTCCACTTTCGTTACGCTTTCTCAGCGAGATAGACTTTTAACATCAAATCTTTCAATAAACGAACCAATATTATTTCTATTTTCTACTATTTCTTTTGTTATCTTTCCTTTCCTTTTCTTTCTATTTCATCTTTCTTTATCTCTTCTTTGATTCTCCTCTCGTTCTTTTATCTTCTTTGTTTCTTTCTTCTCTTCATCTTTCAATGCAGCGAATTAAAAGAAGCTGCGAACAAATCTACCGGAAAAACGTAGAATGATTGGTAGTTCTGTTGCGAAGAAGCCAGTTTGTGCACCGGTACTGCTGCTCCAGTTCGAGTTCGTGTCTGTTCGTCGAATATCAGTCGTTAGTCAATATAACGAGACCTCACGCTAGCGTGTGTATGTACATATATACGCGTTATTTCCTTTCGAGAGCCGTAAGACTGATAACTTAAATCACGTACATAATGTAAATAATATACGTACTCATTAAGGATTTTAATTGCATCTCGATGGAAATTTTAAGCATCTCTTATCTTACTGGACGATTACCGAGATATTTCTTCTAATAAGTAGATCACGTCTCTGTAGATTTTTTTATCGTGTTATAAGTCCTCGTTCTCTTTTCCGTATTTTTACTAGCCACTTGTAATATTTAATAATTTTATGTGTGTATCTTCCAATATATACCTACTAGACTTACTATAACACCTATTAAAGTTAATGTTACGGCATTGTTTTACCATCTTTTATCCGAATTGTGTGGGTTGAATATTATTCTATTTTTACAGAGCGTATTAGTCATTATATATTGTATACATTTTATCATTGTTGGTTGTTATTAATTAGGATGTACTACCTGAGTAAAAATACATAATTTGCATATGTTCATTACACTGGATCGTACGTATATACATACATTTGGGTACCACATTGTAAATATACCAATAAATATTATCTCTTTTGCAATAAAAATTATAGTAATGATTATAATATGACGATGTTGTCTGTTATTATTTATTCTAACTATTCTTCAATTCTCATTTTACCTCGATAACTTTATATAATTATTCTTCACTATTTATTGAAATCGTTGGAATTAAATTTGAGAATCGCCGTTTATTGATACGCTTTTGTACATGATTTTTACGGCCAAACAATATTCTCAATCCAATCAAGATAAGAACTAACTCTGGTATATATCGCGGGCGATGATTTAAAGGCACAAAACTTGCCGAAGCTTGTCACACCAACGATGCTGTACATGCAATAAGGTTCCGCAAGAATTCTTTGCAATGGACCGCCACTGTCACCCTACAAATATGCCAAATTAGACTCTATTCCAATCTTTTCTCAATTCTTTAAACATAGGATCTTTAAAATACATGATTATATTTAATAGTAAGAATATTACTGATATTTTTTAGAAGTAAAATTTATCACATTTAGTTAATTTAAATATGTGTATTTATTCTTTACTTATAATGCTTAATGTATATATCTGCTGATATCTTTAAAATTACACATATAAATTTCTTTAGTCTCTAAATTAAAATTGAGAACTTCGAAAGTTGAAATGTTCAAAAATAAGTAAAGAAGTTGATGTATAATAAAATCCTTAATCTGAGGAATATGAAATGTATTTTCAAAACTTTATTTTAAAAAATAAAAAATTTTTTAATAATTTTAAACAATTTTTCACCTGACAAGTGTCTTTGCCGCCTTCCATTATGCCGGCGCAAAGTAAGCTCGATATTAAACCATCGGGTAGCCGCCGAGTACCAATATCCTCAGCGTAAGTCTTTTTACATTCATCTTCGGAAATGTAGTTCAACTGGACTTTCATCAATTCGTTGCTACCAATACTGGATTCTGAACAATATCTCACATTATATCTCTTAATATGTCAAAAAAGAATATAAATAATGATATAAAATACTATTATTATATTAAATTTAACATAAACATGAAAATTAAAATAATAATAAAAATAGTTTCGTCGTTCTAAGAATAAAGCAAATATAAGTAGAATGCTAATATGAAGCTCTGTGATTGTTGATGCGTAAATAATATATTTATAAGGCGATAAGGTGAACGTTTCTGGATTTCAATTCTCCTCAATGCGGAAGTCAAATACAAACTAGTTTGATCCAGAGTTGTAACGTTTGCTGTTAACTTTATTGGTAAGTATATTTCAATTGTTTGCGAATCTTATCGGTTTATATATTATTTACGCATCAATAACCGTGAAGGTTCATATAGACATTTTACTTATATTTGCATCATAAAAAGTTTAAGTCTAATCTATAATTAGTTCTTTACTTCCTGTTTCTTGCCTATTACCGCTTTTTACCTTTTGCTCTTTTTGCCTCTTTTTCTGTTTTTTCTCTATGTCGCTCGAGAAAAATTGACAAACTTCAAACAAGACAATAAGAAATATGATTATCGATAAAACAATCGCAAAAAAGCAAGAAGTAAAACGCTAGAAACAGGAACCAAAGACCACATTGTAGATTAGACTTTAAAATACTGACCGTAGGATGTTTTCCCAAATCCAGAGGCGATAGCACTTTTTCCTGGTAGCTGAGATTCTATTTCGAGGCAGGCGGGTCTCACTCGAGGATTCAAGTCAAATGGTTGTGTAAGCTTGAGCAATGCTATATCATGGTATGTGGCCGAAAATTTGTAATCCGGATATTTAATTCTTTCCGCGACGTCCCTTTCCTGCATAGCATCGCCAGGACTTAACAGATCAATTAAGCCGACTCGCACTTTACTTGCGGGACCCCTAAGAAACGTGTAGATGTAATTTAGTAACAGGGTACAGTAGAGTTTTTTCGTCCATTTTTCGTGATAATGTTCATATTTCCGAGCAGCACATATTGAATATTTAAAGATTGTGCTTGTGTTCTCAAAGAGCAATCATGATTGTAAAGTTTTAAGCACGTTACTGCAAAGAGATATTGTTTGTTGTCGTGAATATTTGTATTACTTTAAAGTTGAAACTGACCGAATAATCCCGCCCTAATATAAGTTTCTATTTGATATCCAAAATTGATGATAGTGTAGTAATGATGTAAGTGCGAAGAAATAATTGTAGCAAAATTGTTACTTGTCCGGGGATTCCATACAGTGCGCCGCTGTCAGAATAAAATTGTCGGAGATGATGCTTCCTCCGCATTGCCAGGACACATCTTTGCCATAACCAATCACTGCCTACGATATGGAAAATACTGCTCTGTTAATTACTTTGATGATTAAAATGTTACATGGAAATCTATATTGTATTATTACAAGGAATTTTCCAAACGACACGTTTTTCGCATATAAAAGCGAATGCTGTGCAACATGTGACAATAAATAAGCAAAAATTATTAAACAAATATTAGTTTATTTAATAAAAATATAATAAAATTTAATATTTGTGCAATTATTATTTTCTATTTTTAAAAATTATAGGGACATGCAAAAGTATATTTTAGTAAAGTGTATTTAAAAAATATTTTGTATTATATATTTTATATTTTTAAATTATATATTTTCCTGCATATATTTATAAATACTTCAATTTTATGTAAATATGAATTTTATATTACATTGTTTACGTAACAGTCATATTAGTGACAATTATATTAATATCATTTTCTATTAAATAATTGAAATGTAGAAAATAACTTTCATTGCCTATAAATGTTTATGCTTATATGTTTGTCACAACATTCGACAACATTATATATAATTCTTAATTATTTTGCAGATTGTAGCGATAAATACATATTTGCTCTCACCATATGCGGAAATTCCGCATGTTTCGCTTGGATTCCGCCGATGATTAGAGGTGTCTCGACAACGGCGCAGCGGGAGACTTTATTCGAGCCGGCATTGATACGTAAAGTCGGCGAGTTCTCCGTTTCGTAAACCAGATCGGCGTATTCCTTACATTCTACGAAGAAGCGGGGATTATGCAAATTGAGGATTATGCAGATCATAGCGGAAAATGCGTGGGAAATGATGCAAACGACGATTTATGGTGCAATTACGATGTGAGGGAATTATGGGAATACATGGAAATTACTTTTGTTACTCTTTTATACGCGTAATTCTTTTTCTACAAAGTGCGTAGCTCATTAATTTACTATTGCACGTCATGATTACTTAATGCATCTCTTACGAAACGCGCATCTATTTGTATGTTGAGCTAAACAAATTATACACGCTTCTTGTAATCACAAAGCACAACTCGCATAATGAAGAATAGTTCTAAATACAGCTTGATATCGATTTAATAAACATTACACATTTTCACAGAAATAAATTTGTGATGCAAATTGTGTGATAATGACTATCTACGATTACTGTTTTGAAATGTTTTTTGTGGTTGGCCAATTAGTTCATTTTTATCTTCTAATTGGTTAATCAAATGCTTTGAAGCATTTACAGTATCAAGTAAACTGCAGCCTAATTAGAGTTGATTTTCCAGTAACAAAGGTTTTATGAAAGATTTTATGAAAGATCGATTTTGATACCTAATGAAAAATTTAAGATGAAATTAAAGACTTTACGATTATATTAAATTATGGAGATTTGTAACATGAAAACTAAACAAATAATTATAAGTCTCTAAATTAAGTATTGTTCTTATTTTTTAGTAACTTTTAGGAGTTTAATTTAAACAAATATTAATTTAATTTGTAATTAGTCGCTACAATATTAAAAATTATAAAGTTGCCATGATTTTAGTTCAATTTCTATCCATAAAAAATTAATTTTAAATTTGGCAAGAAAATAAGATACATTGAAATGATGATATATGTGCGTACATTCGAAATAAACAATTCTTCGAATCCGATCGCGGATATAACGAAGCAGATAGGCTATCACTAACTTTCTTCACTTTTTCGCGCCGCGGAATTCCTAAGTAAAATTGTGACGAACAACACGATCGTAAGCTCTCGGTGCATATTGTAAATCCAATACACGGCGTACCGACACTTTCTTCGAACAAAGGCCTTAATAGCAAATTCTCGCTTTAAAAACAACGGATAATGCGTAACGAAGTGCATGCGGATTGCCCGATAAAGTCGTTTATTAACGATTGGTGATCCGTGAATCGAAGTATCATTAATGATATTAGCAGAACTACAAGCAATGACGTATCCGCTGAATTCTTCCTCGTGCATTTCATAAAATGTTTGCGTCTGCTTCCAATAAGTAGGTACTGTACCTTAATAATCAGTTATTTCATAGAAAAACTGCGTTGTGTTCTGATTTAACCGCATATCATTACTCATACGTACGATAAAAAAAAATCTTTTTTTACACATAACACACACATCAATTAAACTAAACGTTAACTTAAATTTCAGATTTAACAAAAGATGTTTTAAATACTTAAATGTATGAATCTCATAACAATTTTTTTATAGCTATTAAAATAGATTATTATTTGTAGTAGTTATTTTCAATATTGTATTTGCAACGTTGATAAATAAATCTTCAATTAACTTTTATAAAATAAAGATTTGTTTTATAAAATAAAAATTTTTCTATAAAAAATAAAGAATAAAAGTTGTAAAATTTTGTTTATCACGTATTAGCCTGAGACATAATTTGTAAGAATTTTGCTAAGAATGGTATACCTTCCTATTTTTTTAATTCAAAAACTATTTCATTATTATTACTCAAACACACTACATCCTTCTGTATTATTACACATCCTAGAATGCGTAGGACATAAATTTTGTACATTTGACACTTTACTTCATTCATAAAGATATTTCTCTTTCATACAGATGCATATTTTTTGCGAAACCATTAATTTATTTATCTTAGAATAATTAATGTATTACTAAACTTATGCTAATTGTATATTACCGTATCAATTTCTTACAAATAACATTTAAAAAATGCTACATCCCTGGATGTGTACACGTGTTTCGTTCTTAATGAAACTGGCCTTATCAAACCCATCGGGCCTTTGGCAGCGTCATAACGTCGATCATGATGGATCGAATCGGATTTGTTCCATGTATTAAGTTCGATGTTTGACGTATCGAAAAATATCTAATCATCATTAGATTTCTAATAGCTTAGTAATATGTAACCCATAAACGAAATAGTGATACCATAAATTATATTAATCATAATAAGATCTAAGAAAGCTCTGAAAAGAAATCACAAAAATACCCAAAAAATCTGCAATCTACTCTTACGTTATAAATGAATCGTTTTGCGCCTGTTATCTGTAAAGTAAATCAGACTGTTATCCTTGAACTTTGCATCAAGATTTCTTTAAGAAAGTTACATTTTCATTATCTTTACATTTACTTCAAGTGAGTTAACATAGTATTTCCTATTGAATGAATACGATAAGAAAATCGTCGTAATATAATAAAAATGCAGAATAATAATTAAGAGATAAATATGACTAACACAGATACAATTCTAGGATTCTAATATCAATCTACTTTGCGCATCATATTAATGAGAAATCAAATATTTGCTTTTGTTTTCTTTGCATTTATTCTAACGAAATTTTCAGTTTTCTTTGTGTTACATAAAAAACAAGATAATATGTCATATGATACATATGATACATTTGTATAAAATATTGTATTGAGAAAAAAAAGAATTGTTCATTTGGCAAAATTAATTTAATTTGTTTTTATTTTTTTCGACGAAAAACATATTATATTTTACTTAAATACATGCATCCTCTAACAAGAAAGACGAAGATGAACTAAATTAAATTAGTTTATATCTTTACCTTTTTTGTTAGAGCATGTATTTAAATTAAATTTTTTTCTCATTATATAAGGTGTGGAAAAAATGATGTTATAATAGTAATATTAAATCTACAATTTGAAACAATCTTGTTAATTTAACAGCATATTAATGAACAAGTACTCGTTTTATTAAAATAAGAATATATTGAGTAAATAAGATTACTTTCAACTAAATTAGTGCTATTAATACAATATTATTTTTTCATATTCAAACAAAAAGGCTTAAGTTCTTTTATTTCAAGAAAAGTATAAATATTTCAAGTATAAATCAACAGATTCAAATAAGGAGCGGCTTTTGTGAGAAATTGTTACATGCATGAATGCACAAAATCATATATGTACATTGCATTATTCATTGGATATCTATGGAATTAATGAGCCTAGTCAATGTTCCCGTTAAATTAAAATGTCGAAGTATAATGTAGGCACAAGGAGAGAATTTTCTTTTAAAACTTACCCTGAAAATATGGTAGTTGTAATACAATACAATATTTTAAAGATTTTTACCATACACTTCAGTAAAATTGATCAAACTTATTTTATACTTTATTGTAGTTTTATTAACCTTCTGAGGACCGGCATGTTTTTGATCGACTTTTTTATTTTAAGGGCTAGAACTTTTTTGTCAATGTCATGGGGTTGAGTGACAAAAAAGATGGCGCCACTGTCGAGTCTCTAAAGGGGCTTCCGGTCTTCTACAGATTATTGAATGAGAGAGATTTACATTAAAATTCTTCGAAATACACAATGTTGTCCCACGATTGTCATATTTTCAAGATAAATTCTAAGAAACTTCTCTCCGTGCAGAGATAATTTTTTAGTATCGTTTTTCGTGACGACAGCAGCATGATAATAATTCGCGTGAAACATTTGCACATTGAAAATGGAAATTACAGAAATTACAGCGATTTCAATCGAAGTCACATAAGAATTACGGAGGTTTCGATTCCTGTTACAGATCGCTTGCGGCACGCGACAACTGATTGCCTCTTAATCATCCATCGTTAGATCGTTTTGCTGAGATCTTCCTCGAAGGCAAATGGAATCATACGTACGATCGACTGATTTATCAAGAAATACATCACGAGAATGACCTCGTGGTTCATCACCACCACTGGGAGAACGAGCGATCGAGTGGGGATCGGGAAAAACTGAAACGTATGGGACAAACGTGTTAGACAAGGTATATCTTCCATCGCCAACGAGTCTTCGGGATCAGACGAGAAAACAGCGTGATCAAGGCTGACCAAGGCTGACCGAGGATGCCAGTGAGCGTGTCGATCGCCTCATCGTTATTATTATTGGTGTTGGTTTCGATCCTGTCATCGACACATGGAATGCACGTCGGAGGTGAGTATTAGTCGCACTTCGCTAAAAATACGGGAACGAATATATCGAGTGCATTCTTTTCGGTGAATGGAAAAGTCTTCCGAACCACGTGTTGTATACTAAACAAAATCTATTGTACAGCAATATGTTTCTTTGATGTAGCTCTCTGATTATAAATGATTATACATTTAATACACAATTATAAATGCATTATTTGGTTTTGTGTAATTTCTTTACTTTTAATTTTGCATGCAGAAAAAGAAATAATTACTTGATAATTACGCGTCAGGCACCAACAATTAGTTTTGTGTTTATTCGTGTAATATACTCTGTCGTACAATTTAGTATTCGACATAATGATTTAATGACAATTACAAAGCTTGTAGAAATACCTCTGACATTGAAAAAGAAGCCTGAATAAATTTTTAATTTATTATAGTAGATAAATCTATCGCAATGACCTTGTTAACAAGAAAGATCAATCAATTTTGTATCTCATTGATTTATATATCCTCAAATAAAAAAAACTTATCATAAAATCAAAATAATATCAAATGGCTTTAAAATAATTAAAAGTCACTTTTCAAATTATAAAGATTCATTTTAATATTATTTTGACATTATCGTGATTTGTTGTTCTGCTTAGATCAGCCTCAATTCTTTTTAGATTCATGAAAAACATGTGGCACGAAATAAAATCTTAAATTATACTTGAAATAAATTTATGAAATGCCTTTCAATTAGTGTACGTAATTTGTTATATTTATATGTATATTTACTAAAATCTCTGAATATTATAAAAACTACAAAGTTGTTAAAGTTGTATAATTAACATTAACTTTTTCGTCGTATCATTTTCCGATATGTAAATGGTACAAACGTTTTATGGAGTTGCAAGAACTTTTTCATAATTTTGCTCCTTGGGAGTATAAAATAAAACGTCTTCATTGTGAATCTGGTCAATCTTAATTGAAAAATAGTCTAAATGTGAATGCTATACAAACGTGACTGTCGTAACAATTTAACACTATTATGTTTAACAATCAATTTCCAAATTGATAAATTCAAAGTGGTGACAATAAAATTGTTAATATCTAACGGCTACATAATTCTCAAATTGTCTGATTTGATGATAAGCATAGGAATAAAATTGTCTGATTGTCTGATTAGCAAAAATTTGTAATACAAATTTGTAATTAATGTATCTTTTATATAATTTTCAGAGTCATGCACGATCGACAATTCACCAGGTGATTGCAAGTCTTTACGTGACTGTCCAAAAGTATATGAGGAATTGTTAGCAGGCAAAATACCTAGTTACACCTGCGGATTTTTAGGTATCGAACCAATAGTATGTTGCCCAAAAATAAACCCTATAATCACTCAACCAACGCCAACGCAGGGAACTACTGAACTAACAAATACAATGCGACCTCCGAAATTAAATGAATCAAGGGGATCTGTAGCACGAGCAAGTAAGAAAAAATTTCTTTTTAACCTATTCTTTAATTAAAGATAAAGAACACGCTATAACAACATCAACATTCGTTGAAACTAGCGTGCAATTTGGCCCATACTTCTATCTCTTCAGAAGAATTCTTTACGTAAACATACAATACGGTTTCTTAAGTATACACAAACAGCTTCTAGCAATGATGAACAGGTTTATTAGAGTTAAATTACAGCAATATAGACATTTTCAGCAAAGTTGAATGGAAAATGAGATTCCTGATCCCTTACTAAGGATCTTTATTTAGATTGATAATGTCAGAAGCGGGAAACCATATAATAAAAATTCTTACAAAACATATTAAAATGGAAATACTTTTTAATAGCACAATATTTGCTTTTACGATACATTTGTAAAATGTGTCGA